TTATTGTCCTGATGTAAAGCATTACCAGTAAAGTGGTCTGTCCATGCTACAACACCTTTAAATTGTATATATCATTTTATAAATGATATAAAATCTGTTTCTAGTCCATGAAAAAACACACTAGCATCGCACACTGCAATCTTGAGAGGATTTAAGATATGTGATTTCTGCTAGTACCTACTGTATTGGGTTTTACATAAAGCTTTTTTCAATAAGGTAAATTGTTACATGACAAACTCATCTTCCACCATTATCATCTGCTGTTTGTGTTTAACAACAGGAGTCCTGGTCTAACAAAACTGTTGTAATGGCTGTACAAATTACTCAGCTGAAAGCTTTTCACCAAACCAAACAGTATTAATCAGCAGTTCTTATGAAGGTGCTAATTAAAAACAATTTTCTTCCTCAGTTTGCAATACTAAGCCATCTTCATTTGCACAGTTTCCAATATACAGCTACTGTATACACTCACACTTCAGGGCCTCTATTAACTATTGAATCTCCTATTACCTATTTCATTACATTCCTGTCTCCCAAGTTTAGAAACTTGTTGACATTTTAGAAGTCACAGCACGATATGTTTAATAATTTTACAAGCACTTTAATTGAAGTCAGAGTTAAGAAAAAAGAACAGGTCTTTCAGCATGCAGGCTCTGGCAGGGCACAACACAGGCTGAACGTTCAAATCCTTTTCTGCTAGCATAACCTCTCACCCAGGGGCAGCATTTCACGACTGAATGGGGAAGGTGCCTAATGCAGAGAACCATTTAACTTATTCATTTTTTCATTTATTTTTCTCGTCTTTAATAAGCAATCTCCTACAAGTGACACCGGGTTGGTTTTCTGCAGGGAAATGCATCCAAAATAAAATATACTTTCTGTTACTGAAGGCCTATTGCTCCTTCACTATCGTCAGCCACGACAGCTCTTTGTTTTTGGGGGCTTGGCATCTGTTGAGTTCAACCCAGATTCGAGGGTCAAGATGTTTCTTCTCAGGCTGTGGAATGCCATCTGGACTACTGCTCTGATTGCATCTTCCCTCTACTTTCCACACACTTTCCACACAAGAAGACAATGAAGATCCAATGCCGCTGTTGGACAGAGATGGGAAATATCCAGCTTTTACCCAGCCACAACAATATGCTGGGCTTTTTGGCAGCAAGCCAGATGCTGACTAAGCAAGGAGCCTTAATAGGCTAAAACCCTTAAAAATGGGAAAGAAAAGTTAGGTTTGTTACATTCAGCTATTTGAACAGAGTCCACAGGTCAGAGAGAGAGAGGGATCTTTCCGAGGAGATGCTGCACTTAGTCTCACAAAATCTGGGGTCAATTCTAGAGCACGTTGGCTGCTTTCTAAACGGCTATCAGCAAATGAGACAGCAATACTGTCTGTGCCTGTCAGACTCCCTTGTGTGAGGAGCAGGCATGATTTGGAGTATGTGTGTGTCCCTTTATTTAAACATTCAGCTGCAAATTCACTAAGTAATGTATTTGCTTTCTTTTAGCTTTATGAGGTTTTGCATCAGGGTGCCCTCATTTTGGCTGGGTTAAGTAAGTGCTGGTGCAGTGCAGATGAGAAGAATATTGAAAATCAGCTTTTGGAACCATCTTTCAAAATGTGATGGTGTGCTTGCAACCAATATTAGGCTGCTGATCTATGAAAGTGAAGGGATGACAAGCCATCTTAATCAGACTCAGGAGAATCTAAAAAAGTGAACCAAAAGATAGAAACTGACAAAATCGTCCCTTTCTGAGTAAACAACACAGGATGAGCACGCTGCGTAGAAAACATTTCAGATAATAGCACCAGTGAGTGTTGTCTTACCCCTTCCACCAGCATCTCAAAACACTTCACAGGAGTTAAAGGAATTTCCAGTTTGACATCAGTGTTCATTCCCTGACCTAAGAAGAAGAAAACTGTGCCCATAGAAATCCAGGCTAAACTATGCATTTATAATTTACCCCATGAAAAGAAATAGACCTGCCTACTTCTCTCTTGCGTTAGGGAGAGCAGGTGAACAATGATAATCAAATGCTGCTCTGTTTGACTTGCAATATGTTGCTGTCTTTTCCCTCTTCCATGTCAGCTGTGCCACCTGCCATAACAAGAGGTGGATCAAAAGCTCCACCCACTGCATCCTCTTTTGTTCAGGGAACAGCAGAGGAGATATAACACTTGATAAACACTATGCAGCCAGGCTCAAGATGTAAGGATGCTTTTCACGGGGGGAACAATTTCAATCCCATTTCCCTCCTCACATAAATATGTAGCCATTGAGCCACAGGTAAAATGTGAATGACTTGTCTAATAAGGATTTTGCAGCTGGACTGGTACCTGGGGTAGGAAGTTCTCCTGCCTCATCTCACCTTCCTAAGATATTTTTCACTTCAAACTTATTTCCCAAATAGAGAGATTTGTCCCGTTGTTCCAGAATGCTATCTGATAGGACTAGTTTGTAATTTTAGGAAAGCTTTTGCCAGATCTCACAGCAGGAAATTGAATTTTTTTTTCCTTGGTCTTTTATATTCTAAAGCTCACAACTTACTGCCAGTGGCATCAGCTGCATTAGGGCTACATCCAGGGGGATGGATGTCCACAAGAAGAGCATTTCTCTCAGCCATTTTATCTCTGAGAAAGGAGGAAGAAAGAACGTTGCTGTAAAAACTACGAACATCTATGTAAAGGAAAACTTGCATCAGCCTAGCATTTCCATTCCTGGTGAACACAGTTTAGCTCTTTCACGGTGTAGTTCATCTTTGAAGTGTTCTGCAAACACGAAGTAATTAAGCTCAGTATTCTGTTGCAGAACACAGTAAGAGCTTTTATCACTAAAAATACACCAAGTATCAGAGACCAGTTAAAGCACATCACTTGAAAGGCTCTGAGAGATTTTATGAGCAAGATTTGGTACACTGCCTTTTCTTAGTGAAGGCATTTGATGATTTAATAAACACTTTAAAATAAAAATGTAAGAATTCAGAAACAAATCTTCAAGTCCCTACTAATGCAAAGGATTCTAGAAAAGAACACTATTAGTGTCTCATGCAGTAAATCCTACATCTGTGACTTTCCAACACACATTTTGAAGCAAAAAGGATCAAGAAGAGAGCTTGCTTATATACCTCTAAAAATATCTACACAGAGCAAACCTGCAAGCACTTATGCAGATGAGTAACTTCACTGCCTGTGGAGCTCCAATGTGAGTTTGCAGGATGAAGCCTAAATGCATCTTTGGTAAACAAGCCATCAATTACACACTTTAGGGATGGCATCACCTGTGCAAAGCCTTCAACTCAAACGACAGACACTAAAGAAATAGAAAGCAATTATCAGCTACTAATTTGAGTAAAACTGTTATCTTCTTAGAGCTAAAAACACAATTTTCAGTGACACTGGTTCTACTTTTGGCAACTAACAATCTTTATTAGATTATTGTACAGCAGACATTCAAGTCTTCACAAAATTAAAAGGTTCACAAATTTTAATATTTCACTATTTTTCACACTCCTTTGTTGATTATAAAGACTTCCTTGTACATGTTTATAGAGAAAACAAAGGCACTGCTGTGTGGGACAAACAAAACAGAACTAATTAAACTAAAGCCACCTTCACAGCAATTTAAAATTACCCCCAAATGCTTTTGATTTCTTACTAGACATGTATCTTCCAACAAGAGTTTGAATACGAAACTCATACCAGCTAAAAGGGAGACATACTCCTCAGTTCTAGGATAAATGGTTGGTTTGCATTGCCCCTGGTCTTTATCCAACACTGAGAATAGGCTGCTTTTTATCAAAAGAGGAATAAATTGCTGTTATTGTGATGTTAGCCCATCACTTGGAATTGCAATTCAAGTTTTTGTGAGGAAGAAATGTATGATCTAACTGCGACTTGACCTATGCCTTCTGAGATCCATCTAGGTGCTCTAATGGAGCATAAAAAGTATTGAACACAAGGACATGCAAACCGGTAGTGAAGAAATTTGTTTGAGAAGAAGAGCAAAGAGAAACAGACTTTCATGAGCTCATGCTGCCCAATTTGTTAAATATGGAAGAACACTTATAGCCTAACTGCAGTTCTTATAATTAGTGTATTTTAGCATGATCCTCTACACTTCCTTGCATCTAGTACTCCTCCTCTCAGTCATGGTCTCTGCTACTCTCTTTTTTCATTATTTTGAAAGTGTTGTGGTTTAAGAGACTGTAGAGGATTCCTTAATGATCCAGGTTGTTTTTCTGAGAAGTCATTAAAATGGTCTATTAAACTGTTAAGAAAATAAGAAATTGCTCCTGTTTCTTTGTAGGATTTTTCTCTTTCCCAGTACAAGAAAAGTGACATTAAATATTTATCAAATACTTGGGCCACAATATATCACAGCATAAACAAATTCAAGGGAGATAGTTTGATTACACTACAAAAACCTTTAGTTGTTATAGGGTTTCTCAGAACTGATCTGAAAAGGATGTATTTTTAAAAAAGATATTTCTAGGATAGTAGCATTTAGATTTTAGTCCTGATAAAGGCTCACTTTCCATTCATAGTCAGAACCTAAATGTGCTCTTCTTGTACCTAAACAGATAATAAGCACTCAGCACACTCCCCCTTCTTGACACAACACACTGAGACTAATCACACATAATTGGAGAGGAGGAGCAGAGGGGCTGGGCAGGCTATTGTGTCCAAAGGACAAATGGTCAGTTTATGAGGCTTTTGTCTGATGCATAATTTCTTATGCATCTCCAGGAGGAAAAGTCCTGCTGGAAAAAAAAATATATATACACACACACATAAAAAATATCTTCAACACTGACTCAAATGAGGACATTTTGATCATGGACAGAAAAATTAACAGTGGAATTTAAAAAAGCAACCAACCAACCAGCCAAACAAAAAACACAGAAAAATCCAAGCATTCAATAGCTGCACTTTAAAAAGATCTTAAGACAACTAATTCCTTACTAATGAAATGTGAAAGCACTTATAACTTTATAACCAATTA